CTAGGTAAGCTGATTCGTGGTACATACATACTAGCTCAAAGATGACTTCCTAATATATCATTTTCGTAGTTTGTATTGACATTTTTATTTCTCCATTCACTTGTAACAGACTTCTATCTCCCACTTATTGTGCTTAATCACTATTTTGTGCTTTTATGAAAGTAATCATTGCAAGTCTTGTTTTAGAACTTGACTGTCCTCACCTTATTCCACATGTGCATAAACATATTTATGTTTAATGCCTTCAAAAGGAAAGGTTATTTGTTTCTAGCATTTTACTGCATTTATTACAGAAGTGCCTAGAGGCTCAGCTGTGATGGGGACCCATTGTGTTGGTACAAACACATAGTATGAGACAATCCCGGACCCAAAGGGCTTACAATCTAAACTGACAAGACAGACAAAGGGTGGGAGAAAGGGAATATAATTATCTGTATTTTACAGGCAGGGAACTGAAACACAGACAGATTAAGTGACTTCTCAAAGTCACATAGAAGGCCCTGATAGGGACAAGAATTGAATCCAGATCTTCTGAGTCACAGCGTTAACCGTAAGACCACCCTTCCTCTCAGTTTTTCATCAAGGTTTCCATCCTCAAAAGGAAAAAATATTGATTGTCTTTCATAAGTATTACAATTTTGAATGTCTTGATTTACTCAGCACTGGTGAGGCTATAGCTAGAGTATTATGGCCAGTTCTGGGCACCACAATTTTGGAAAGTGAACAAACCATAAAGAGGCAGAGGAGAGCAACAAAAATGACAAATGTTTAGAAAACCTGGCCTATGAGCATAGGTTTAAAAAAATAGGCATGTTTAATCTTGAGGAAAGAAGACAGAGGGAGGGAACTGGATAAGTCTTCCACCATGTAAAGAACTGTCATAAAGAGGATGGTGCGCTATCATCCTCCATGTCTACTGAAGGTAGGAAAAGAAGTAATGGGCTTAATCTGCAGCAATGGAGATTTAGGTTAGATATTAGAAAAAAATTAATTAAAAGGATAACTAAACTCTGGAACAAGCCTCCAAGAGCATGTCTACACTAGAAAAAAACTTAAAAAACAACAAATTGCCTAGTAGCACTTTAAAGACTAACAAAACATGTAGATGGTTTCACACTAGGAAATTATTTCAAAACTTATTTTCAAATAATAATTCCTGAAATAACTATTTCAAAATAGTGTGTTTTCACTACTGGGAAGCCCCAAAATTTGTCTGAGGAAGGTTCTCTTAATGTGGATACATTACCTCAAGCTAGAGCCCCAGAAAGTATTTGGGAGCAATTACTGTGAATGAGTCTGGGGAGTAATTATTTTGAAATAGCAGCAGTGGAACATTCACACTACCGCTATTTCAAAATAACTATTTCAAAATAAGCATTATTACTCATGGAAAACAGGAGTTATTATTTCAAAATAACCAACCCCTCATTTCGAAATAACTGGCTTGATAGTTTGGATGCTTTGCTTGTTATTTCGAAATAAGGGGAGTTATTTTGACATAACTCCATAGCATAGACCAGGGCCAAGAGAGGTCACGAATTCCTCTTCATTGAAAAATTTTTAAAAACAAGTCAGACTTTTAAAACTTTTAAAACTTTTAAAAACAAGTTCCTGTCAGGGATAATGCAGGTTTACTTGGTCTTGCCACAATATGAGGGGCTGGACTTGATGACACCTCAAGGACCTTTCCAGCCCTACAGTTCTATGATTTTATGTATATTATGTCTTTCATTCTTCAGTGTTTTAGGGAGTGTGACGTGGAGGGTGGATAATGGGAGTAGAGGCCAATTTACAATTTTAGACAATTATGTCTGGCATCTATCTCCATTTATTATATAAGGGCTAAATAGAAAAAAATACTATATAGACCCCCAAACTTGTTTTGGGCATTTAAATGCCCATCTGAGCCCTCCAATATGAAATTAGAATCCTAACTTTGGTGCCCAATTTGAAAACTTGCTTCTGAATGGTCAGATTCTGAAAAGAGATCAGCATCAAACAGTTCTCATGAAAGCATCCAAATGAAAGCATGCAGATTTTTCATGGCGTTCCAATACTAGTTAAATACTTCACTGGTTGCAGGTTTCCAAAAGAGTTCAACAACCCACAGCTTCAATGGAGAACTGTGTACCTATCTTCTTCTGATTTTATAGGACAGTTCTCCTTTGACTACAGAGTAAATCTGGCAAGTTCCAAGCTAAGCCAATGTTGCTTGTCAAAGCTACAGAGGAGTAGAAAATATGACAGAACATGTTGCAACTTTAAATGCTGAGAGCAAAAATGTCAGCCACCATAAATTTGAACAGGCTCCTGAATGAAACAGAGGGAAAAGTTGCAGCTTCAAAATACATAGCTACTCTTATCCACTTCTTTCTTTCTGTTTGGTAAAGCATTTGATATGGTCTCTCGTGATCTTCTTATCAATAAACTAGGGAAATACAACCTAGATGGGAATATTAAAAGGTGGGTGCATAACTGGCTGGATAACCATTCTCAGAGAGTAGTTATTAACGGTTCACAATCTTGCTGGAAAGGCATAAAAAGTGGTGTTCTGCAGTGGTCTGTTTTGGGACCGGTTCTGTTCAATATCTTCATCAATGATTTAAATACTGGCATGGAGAGTACACTTATTAAGTCTGCAGATGATATCAAGCTAGGAGGGGTTGCAACTGCTTTGGAGGATAGGGTCATAATTCAAAATGATCTGGATAAACTAGTGAAATGGTCTGAGGTAAACGGAATGAAGTTAAATAAGGACAAATGCAAAGTACTACACTTAGGAAGGAACAATCAGTTTTACACATACAGAATGGGACGTGACTGTCTAAGAAGGAATACTACAGAAAGGGATCTAGGAGTCATAGTGGACCACAAGCTAAATATGAGTCAACAGTGTGACACTGTTGAAAAAAAAAGCAAACATGATTTTGAGATGGATTAATAGGAGTGTTGTGAGCAAGACACAAGAAGTCATTCTTCTGCTCAACCCTGCACTGATTATGCCTCAGTTAGGCTGTGTCTAGACTACATGCCTCTGTCGGCAGAGGCATGTAGATTAGACAGATCGACAGAGGGAAATGAAGCCGCGATTTAAATAATTGCAGCTTCATTTAAATTTAAATGGCTGCCCCGCTCTGCCGATCAGCTGTTTGTCGGCAGAGCGGGGCAGTCTAGACGTTCCCCTGTCGACAGAAAACCCTTTTGTCGACCACCCCGGTAAACCTCATCCCACGAGGCATAACGGGGTGGACGACAAAAGGGTTTTCTGTTGACAGGGGAACGTCTAGACTGCCCCGCTCTGCCGACAAACAGCTGATTGGCAGAGCAGGGCAGCCATTTAAATTTAAATGAAGCCGCGATTATTTAAATCGCGGCTTCATTTCCCTCTGCCGATCTGTCTAATCTACATGCCTCTGCCGACAGAGGCATGTAGTCTAGACACAGCCTTAGAGAATTGTGTCCTGCTCTGGGTAAGATATTTCAAGAAAGATATGAAAATTGAAGAAGGTCCAGAGAAGAGAGAAAAAAAAGATTAAAGGTCTAGAAAACATGACCTGTGTAGGAAGACTGAAAGACTTGGGCCTGTTTAGTTTAGAAAAGAGAAAACTGAGAGAGGGCATGATAGCAGTTTTCAAGTATCTAAGAGGGTGTTACAAGGAGGAGGGAGAAAAATTATTCTCCTTGGCCTCTGATAATAGGTCAAGAAGCAATGGGCTTAAATTGCAGCAAGGGAGGTTTAGGTTGGACATTGGGGCTATGTCCACTCTGAGATCTTCTTCCAGAAAAAGATACGCAAATTGCAAACCGCAATTTACATACCTTTTTCTGCTTTTTTTCAGAAGAGGCTTTTCCAACATTTGGCCCATCTACACAGGGCCAAATGTGGGAAAAGCCTCCTCTTTCGGAGGAGTCCTTATTCCTCCTAAAATGAGGAAACCTTCCTGTCAGTGTGGTTAAACACTGGATTAAATTGCCTGGGGAGGTTGTGGAATCTCCATCTCTGGAGATATTTCAAAGCAGGTTGGATAAACATCTATCAGGATGATCAGACGGTGATTGGTCCTGCCGTGAGGACAGGGGTCTGGACTTGATGATTTCTTGAGGCCCCTTACAGTTTTAGTATTTTATAATTCTATGATTCTATGATCTACTAGTAATGCAAAGTCTTTCCTATGCCTCAGATAGACTACCCTTTCCTATTTGGAATAGAGTGTCTGCCACATCTCTCAAATTGCAATGCAGAATTCTTTATCAACTAGTGAACACAATCACATCCAAGTGCTTCTCATTTGTCACTCAGTTTGATCGGTTTGATCAATTGAAATTATAAATTGTTCAGGGGTCGGTCATCCATGGAAGACTTTGGTATGATCTCTTTCGAGAATTAGCTCTACCAATTTCAAATGTATTGCTTGATTTACTGCTATTCATAATCTTACCATCATTCACACCAAGACCAAGTGACACCAGAAGTCACACTTGTTTCTGGAACATGATCCCAGTAATCCAAATCCCATGGTTTCAAGTGGCACATGTTTAAGACATTTCTCAAGTAGAACTTCTTTTGCTAGTTCACTAAGGACAAGACGTTGCATTGGCTTCTTAATATGTATTGCTTTATGCTTGTTAGGTTCCACAGCACTGCCAACCCCAAGAATTCAAAAATCATGTACCAGGCTAGCTCACTATAAAAAGTAATTTCCCCTCTTTCAGTATGCACACCTTGTCATCAACTGTTGGGAATGGGCCAGATCCACATTGACTGAAATGTCCTCATTAGTACTGGTCTTCCACATAGTAATGTTACACATCCATTTTTGCATGTGTATATATACCTGCCAAACTGAAGTTTCCGTTTCATAAATTTGACAAAGTGAGTTCCAATCCACAAAAACTTATGCCCAAATTTGTTAGTTTTTTAAGGTGCCACAGGACTCCTCATTGTTTTTGCATTTAATATTATCATTTAAAAGCAAATATTTAGATACCATAAGCCCTTTCACAGCTTCTATTCCAGTTCAGGAGCTAGAACTGAAGCTACTGCCCCCTGCTCTCACAAGCATAAGCGTTCAAAAGCACACTCCATTATGGCTGTCTGGAGTTCTTGCAGGGGGTCCTTCTGTGTACTTCAGTGGCAACATGCACTTTGTTCCCTTCCATCTCCTCCTATTGTGAGCTGCTGCTCTGCCATGCCTCTTCCCTTTCCACTAGCCCACTGAGCTGCATAAGTGGTGTGGGATGTCTTTGACTGTCCCCCTTCACTTGGTTGAATTTTGCCCTCTATAAATAAAGGAAAAAGAAAGAAGTATTTTTGTGAAGAAAGAGTTCTGCATACTTGGCAATCACAGACACTGAAATACTCCAATGGGGTGTACTTCTAAGCTGTTTGAAGGTCTATTACAATCTGTGAAATTAAAATCATGAGTTCAGAACTGTCGTCTATACTCTGAAGCAAATCCCCACTGATGCCAATGGAGACCAATGAGGAGTTTTACCTGGTTAAGGACTTCCGGATCAGTCTCTATATTTTTATATCTTCAATAACTCCTAATTTGTACAAACTTTTTCAAATTACAAAAAAGTCACAGTACTGGAACCTAAACAGCTTCATGTTCATATTCGCACGGTCATATTAAAATATTTTGCACTTTCCTGAAAACACAACTAAAAAGCATTAAAAGTCTTCTGACAATTTCTTTGAGACAAAGACATTGCCAGGGAAGCTTTCTACCCCTCCAGATTGTTATGCAAATAGTTAAAATATTGAAATGAATTTAAGAAGTTATACTCTAACACATCAGTCCTGTTATAATTTGGAGACAATGAATAATATATTCCAGACAAAGAGAAGGCAGCTATAGAAGTAAACTAAAATAGGAAAATTACGCCCACAAGGCATTTAAATTTAGGAGTTGAATAAATTATCCATACATTAAAACGTTCATATATTTCAAAGAAAGCATAAAAAAGTTTTAAAAAATAACTGAGAAAATGTAACAAAAAGCAGCATAATTCCAAACGTGATCAAAGCTAGAGTAGAAATCTATTAAATACAAATTCTTGTTGAGCAAAAATTATAAACTATCTTTTTCACAGAGCTATTCTTTTAAGAGATATTCACTCAGCAGAGACTCTGCTGTTTCATGAAATATGTTTTAGTCTGATCACTGACATTGCAGCCAGTGAAATTTCCTTTGCATTTTTTCACCTTGTGGTGCATTTATTGTTTTAAAAGGCAGATTCCTTTTTATGATATTCACTTAAATGGGTCTCTGTGGCTCTGTGTAGACTGCAGCACTATGTACACTACCTCTGGTATCCCCAAATAGCTATCCAGCATTTTAACAGCAAGCTCATTATTTCAAAATATAACGGTCTTACTATTCCAACGTCCCTGTAAATCTCATTCCACAAGGAGTAAGAGATGTTTCGGAAATGCAGGTTATTTCAAAATTTGGCACTGTGTAGACAGCACCAAATTACAAAATACACTATTTTGAAGTTAACTCGAAATAAGCTACGCAATTTGCACAGCTCAAATCGCATAGCTTACATCAAGTAGCAGGTACAGTGTAGATGCACTGTAGGATTTAGTTCAGCACACAATGTATTATTCTTCCAGGTCTATTCATTAAAAGTTAGTTATTTAAGCCTATTCCTTTTTTATTTGATGAAGGCCTAAAATCAGCAAACTACTCGACCAGTTTTCATACCACACTTAGAAGCCATTTCTCAACATGTTTATGTTTTGCTTTTCTTCATGAAGCCCTATAATTTATTATTGGGCAACTTTCAAATATTCATCATTAACATATGCCCCATCCACTGTTATTGTTTTGATCTTATATTTTCTTTCAGCCTTTAAAAAAAACTGAACTCTGCTTCATATTTTATTAACATGGTTACAGAATTAGGAAGGGAAGGAATCTTTACTCATGATAGGACTTCAGAGGAGCACTGGGAAAATCTTCGAGATCCGCAAAATCAGAATCAGCCAACTTTGGTTCCATATTCTTTTACACCATCATAAGAAAACAAAGGTCTTTAGATGAATCCCACCTTGATCATTCGTATTCAGAACATTGTAACTTAGTTCAGGCAGTTCACTTCTGAGGATCTCTGGTGGTCCACAGGTATGGCTGGTTATATGGTGCTGTCTTTTCTTTTCAGCTGCTCAGCTTCATGAAGATTGCTGAAATATATGTAAGCAAGGTCTGAATCAATGCTTCAATTACAGCCTGCTGGAATGGGAAAGAAATCCGAGGTGTGTTTATATTAATGCAGTTTGTGCCTGTTTTGCTTAGATGTGTTAGATATTCAACAGTTAAAATGGTGTTTTGGCCCTTGTAACTGATTTGGCTGTTGTGCAGTCAAAAATTTGGCTGTTGTGTGTTAACACTGAATGGACAAATTGTGAGAGATGATCAACAATACTTGCAGTTATTGTGGGAATGCAGAAAAATCAGACTGACTACATCTACACTGGCATGATTTTTCGGAAATGCTTTTAACAGAAAAGTTTTCCGTTAAAAGCATTTTCGGAAAAGAGCATCTAGATTGGCAGGACGCTTTTCCACAAAAGCACTTTTTGTGGAAAAGTGCCCGTGGCCAATCTAGACGCGCTTTTCAGCAAAAAAGCCCCGATCACCATTTTTGCGATCGGGGCTTTTCTGTGGAAAAGAAATCTCTGTCTACACTGGCCCTTTTGTGCAAAAGTCTTTTGGAAAAAGACTTTTGCCCGAATGGGAGCAGCATAGTATTTCCGCAAAAGCACTGACAATCTTACATGAGATCGTCAGTGCTTTTGCAGAATTTCAAGCGGCCAGTGTAGACAACTGGCAAGTTTTTCCGGAAAAGCTGCTGATTTTCTGGAAAAACTGACCAGTCTAGACACAGCCTATCTGTCTTACTTCAAGGCTGCGTACAGTAAAATGGACAGAGACTTGACTTCCAGAGCCAAATAGATTAAGCAGGGGATGGAGATGAGTCAGCAGGCAGCATGCACTCCAGGTGTGAGCTGTAAGACAGGCTCAACTTGTTTCTCCCCACTGTTTCAATGATCGAGTTAAAGAAAGGCTCCATAAGAAGTCTCTTTTAGAATTTAAATTTAGTCCAGTGGATGCTGGAATTTCTTGTGGTTGGACTGTGCTTTGGGCTAAGAACTGAAATCACAGAGAGCTGAAATCACTAGGTTTGGCCCAGAGCCAAATCCACCACAAGCCAGTGGACATGGGTGAGCCAGTGCCAGAGACCAACGAGCAGGTGAATGGCAAGTGACCAGCAGAGTGGGTGAGACACCTCCCCCCTGTACACACACACACTCAAGATAGGAGGTGAACTCTTCAGATACACTTCTGAACTTTAGCCTGCCCTGACCAAGGGCAGCAACTGTGAGTGGGGTGCAGAGTGGGGTTGGGCATGTGAAGGGGACATTTATATTACTGGACGCGAGAGCTTGAGAGGAAAAGGACATTGCCTCGCCTGCTTGAGCTGGGACATTTACTTGTGGTTTTGGTTATGAACTGTGTTTGTGGTGTTTTCCCAAATTAATGCCATGTTACTTCCCTCTCTTTTTTATTAAATGTTTCTTTTCTACACTCAGACTCTGTGCTTGTGAGTGGGGAACATTGCCTCCTAGAGGAGGGGTGCTGTGTGAATTTCCCAGGTTACTGGATGGGGGCTTGAGCCAGTTCTGTGATGGATGGATGGAGAGGAACCCCTAGATATTGAACCTGGCCCTGGCTGCTGCTGGTGCTACCTGAAAGGATAAAAATGTTTAATATATATGTAACCCTTCTATTAGAGCAGATGTTAACACCTTTATTCATGCTGAGTAACACCTTTCTCCACAAGCTATTCCATTGACTTCAGTGGAACTATTGTGAAGAAAGATACTATTCATCCTAAGCAAGGATGTCTCACTTTGGCCACTTATTTGTCCTTGTTGCTGTAATCTCCACAGGGATTTTATATGTGCACAAATGGAGCGGAGCAGGGATCTCTGAACTAAAATACGGCTCATACTGAAAAAGAGCTTGGACTATATACACGAACGAAAAAGAGCTTGGACTATATACATGAAGGATTACCCTGGAAACAATCCTTACAGCACAAAGAAGCAAGTCTTTTTTTATTTGCCACACAGTACAGTTTACTTACTTTAAATTCAAGCAATTTATTTTCTTAGCAGTCAACTGAATGAATCAGCTGATGAAAATCAGTCTAGTTCCTATGGAAGTCAATAGAGCTCTACTGATTTGTACCAGTTGATCTGGTTCATTATTTATAAAATACTATAAATCAACAAGGAATCTTTTAAATGAATATGAAAAACATCTGGAGAGCTTTACAAAGTCCAACAATACACACTTTCCACTCCCCGCCCAACTCAGCACATATTTTTTTTGGTATGTCATAGATTAATTCTGAAATATGTTGCTCTTACCCTCTGACAAGGAATGTACTGGATGAAACAGGAATATTTTAAAAGACTCTTTTTTCCTGTGGAAGAAAACATACACACAAGATTAATTAATTATAAAGTCAAAATTACAATCACTAATGTCATATATGCCATCAATGTTCTTCTGACATGTACATTGGTATGCCTACACTTGCACCCTTTTTCGATAGAGGGATGAAAATGAGACATTCAAAATTGCAAATGAAGCTAGGATTTAAATATCCCATGCTTCATTTGCATATTCATGTTACGGTGCTATTTTGAAATAGCGCTATTTCAAAATAACAGATGCTGTTAAGACGCGGTTATTTCAAGAGAAACCCCTTCTCTCAAAATAACCCTTATTCCTCCTACAGTTATTTTTCTCAAAATAACTGCATCTTAACAGTGCCTATTATTTCAAAATAGCGCTATTTCAAAATAGCGCCATAACACGAATATGCAAATGATGCACAGGACATTTAAATCCTGGCTTCATTTGCAACTTCAAATGTCTTCATTTGCATCCCTCTCTCAAAAGAGGGTGCAAGTGTAGACATACCCTTGGCTAAATCAGACAGTCTTTTGCCTCAAAGGATGAATACAGTAATTCCTCATTTAACATGTGCCCACTTAACATGTTTTCATGATAGCACAATTTTTTTTTAGGAAATGTTTTTTGAATTACACGACCGTCCCTGGAATAACATGATTTCCCCAGCCAGCTCGTTGCCAGCAGCTGCGCAGGGCTTCCCACACCTCCCTGCAAAGCGGCGGAGAGTTCGCTGCTCACCACAGCCGTTTCCCACTGACTCCCCCTCGCCAGACGCAGTGCGTGTCCCAGTATGACACAGGGACGTACTCCCAACCCAATTCCCCTCCCCTTTCCTACCGTTCCCTTCCCCAGAGCCAAACACCTGCCTTCCCTGCAGTAACCCAGTCCCCTTTCTCCCCCAACCTTATGTCCTGGTCCCAACAGACACCTCCGCTTGAAACGCAACCCCCACCTTTTCCATTATTTTCAATGGGAAAATTGACCCCGCATAACACGTTTTCACTTAACACGATCATTTTCTGAAACATATCTATAGTGTTAAATGAGGAATTACTGTAGACACAAATCAAATACTAAGAATGGTAACATACTTAAACCTGCAGATAACACTTTAACCTCCCTGGACATTCAGTAATGAATTTAAAAGCAGCCATCCTTCTACAAAAAAACTTCCAAACTAGATTACAAAAAGAAATAGCAGAACTACAATTTATTTGCAAATTCAATACAATCAAATTAGGACTGAATAAGGATTTAGAATGGTTATCTCACTACAAAGGCAATTTCCCCTCTCTTGGTATTCACTTCTCCCCATTAGATGCTGTGCGTGAGCCACATCCAGCCTGACTGAATTGGCTTCATTAACACTGGTCTTATATTTGATAAGTCCCTTTTCATATATATATATCCCTGCCTCTGTAATTTCCACTCCAGTTCACCTGATGAAATGGGTTTTACTCATGAAAGCTTATTCCCTAAGGGTATGTCTACACTACCCCGTTAGTTCGAACTAGCGGGGTAATGTATGCATACCGAACTTGCTAATGAAGCCCGGGATTTGAATTTCCTGGGCTTCATTAGCATAAAGCCGGCGCCGCCATTTTTAAAAGCCGGCTAGTGCGAACCCCGTGCCGCGCGGCTACACGCGGCACGGGCTAGATAGTTTGAACTAGCTAGCTATTCCGAACTATCTGTACTCCTTGTGGAAATTCAAATCCCGGGCTTCATTAGCAAGTTCGGTATGCATACATTACCCCGCTAGTTCGAACTAGCGGGGTAGTGTAGACATACCCTAATAAACCTATAATCCAGAGAAAGTCGGTGAATAATACAGTGATTTATGTTCCTTAAACTTATCTGAGCTAGTTGTGTGGAATTGTTTTGTTTTCTTTTGTTTTGTTACAGAACAACTGATTAGTAAGGTGAGAAGCTGTTACCTAGATATCATCCTTGCTGTTTGGAGCCTCCAAAATGCTGCTTCTCATTCCTTGAGCATTAGGCCCTGGAGCCTTTAGGGAAATATAATTCAGTAACTAGTTTCACATTTTGTAACATGCATTGCTGTGAATGGTTAATTTCAAATGTACTGTTTTACTAAAATCTGGTCTATACTTGAAATTTTATCCATATAACTATATTGATTAAGGATGTAATTTTTTACCAACATGTAATATCATGTTGGTAAAAAAGTCCTAGTATGGATGCAGTTATAACCTCAAAGGCAGGGAGGGCAGGCCAGGCCAGGTCTATCCTACAGATTTCTGCCGATATAGGAATGTCAGGTCAGGAGTTTGAATATATATGATCTTTGACTGACATAGCTATACCATCAGAAGCTGTTAACAGAGAAACAGTTACAACAGCAAAATTGCAATAGCTTGTTTCATTTACTGTTTTGCCAGTATAGCTGCCTCAACACTAGGATCACAGAATAGTACTATTGCTACACCAGTAAAATAGGATCTCACAAGAGTCCCACAGTCAAATAGTGTGCACTGATCTGCTGTAAAATTGTTTGGAGGTAAATTCCTCATTTTTCTGGTGGTATTCTTGCTTTCGTAACAGGGAGTCAGCTTTCCCATTTTGTTTTCCTGGCTTAAATGAACTCAAATGAAGAGAAGAACAAGGCCAATCTGAACTACCCCTAATTCAAGACTCAGGATTTGCAGAATTAATTAAGGTTCTTTTGGTTAATAGAAACTGTACTGGATGCTGAATTCCCCTGAGAAAGAAACACCATTCTTCAAAAGCTGTTCTGATTATGAATATCTCCTTGTCTGGTGTTTCATAATTCATTTTTGCTAGGGTGAGTTTTCAAAAGTAGTAAGCACAAGGGTGCAGAGCTGAGTGGAGTTCAAGTTGCTGCAAGCATACTGCCCAGACAGCCACATTGTATGCATTTGCTTCCACCACAACTGGATGAGTTGGGTTGGGATGTTGCCAAATTGGGGGTGGTGAAGGTGGATTTGAACTAGTTGAAAGGGTACTAGGCTTCTGGTGATGTTTATGAAGGAGCCCCCCACTTGAGGGTTGGTTGGTTTGTGATAGGCAATCTTTCTGGCAATTCAGCGGGGAAACTAATGCTTGTCCACCATCGCTTACAGGTAAACTGATCTGAAGTGCTGCAGTGAAGGGCATAGTATGGAATTGCCAGGTCTCTACATGCTGACAAGACTAGAAGATGCTTGAAGCAGTGAGAACTAATCATGGGTCATATTGCTCTGTGAAATACTTAGAATTTCATCTGGAAAGGAAGCAAGGGCTTGTCCTAATGCTCCATGGTAATAAAGGAGGGTCAATAGCTGACAACAGTCTTTCACCTCTGTGATTGGGAAACTCATTTATGGCCAGTGGTAGTGAGTGAATAGTTAACTATCTAGAAACCTATCTGGGGTGGGAGGGAGGGAGCCAGGCTAATTCCTGGTGCCTGTTGGTCCCTTTTGGTAGCAAGGTCCAGTGCAGGAATTTGTTACAGAGATGTCCAGTTTCATGATTAACCAGAATTAGAAATGGACTTAGGGAAAGCATCCCCTAAGGGCATGGGGCATGGAGAATGGGGTTGGGACTCCTAACGTCAAGTGCAGAGAGGAGGTAACTCCCTTTCTGCAGCTCCTCATACAAAGGAAGGGCAGTAGAGATCCAGTAATGGATTGGAGATCTGCTGTGAAGGTATGGGGAGTTTATAGCAGCTCTACCAGAGGAAAATGCTTAAGGAAGAAATCACGACCTGCACTATACTAATTATTACTGAATAGTTCCCAGGTGAGTTAAATTAGCAATATTGCAGGCCACATCTTCTGCATCTTTCTTTTTTCTTACATCCCCATATTCTCTTTCCCATCCAGAAAGAGATACACAGTGTAAGGCACCAATACAATTGCATCTAAACTAGGAGCGGTATATTGCTTTGGCTATACTAGTACACTTAAAGCAGTACAACTTTCTAGTATAGACAAGGCATTAGTACAACAGTGTGATGCTGTTGCAAAAAAAGCAAATATGATTCTAGGTTGTATCAACAGGTGTGTTGTAAGCAAAACTCGTGAAGTCATTCTGCCGCTCTACTCTGCACTAGTTAGGCTTCAGCTGGAGTACTGTGTCCAGTTCTGGGCGCCACATTTCAAGAAAGATGTGGAGAAATTGGAAAGGGTACAGAGAAGAGCAACAAGAATGATTAAAGGTCTAGAGAAGCCTATGAAGCCAGGCTTCATGAACTGGGCTTGTTTAGTTTGGAAAAAAGAAGATTAAGGGGGGACATGATAGTGGTTTTCAAATATCTAAAAGGGTGTCACAAGGAGGAAGGCGAAAATTTGTTCCTCTTGGTTTCTGAGGACAGGACATGGAGTAATGGGCTTAAAGTGCAGCAGGGGAGGTTTAGATTGGACATTAGGAAAACATTCCTAACTGTCAGGGTGGTCAAATATTGGAATAAATTGCCAAGGGAGGTGGTGGAATCTCCCTCTCTGGAGATATTTAAGAACAGGTTAGATAGACATCTGTCAGGGATGGTGTAGGTGGAGCTTGGTCCCGCCTTGAGGGTGGGGGGCTGGACTCGATGACCTCTTGAGGTCCCTTCCAGTCCTATTATTCTATGATTCTATGATTAGAGAATTATTGGTCTAAAGGCTGGTGGCGAGTACCTTGTCAGAAGCACATGCAAGTTAAAATAAATATTACAGAGGCAGATTTTAAATTTTAATGGTAGAGGATGATTGGTGATTTGTTCTCCTTTACAGCAAAGAATTCAGCTGCCAGAGTACATAAATTTGTTTTCTCTCCCACACTCATTTGAAGGACCTGGAAATATGAGGGAAGGTGTTAGTTTTTATTTTAAAAACAAGAACTCCCCACCCACCCCCCAAAAAAGAAGTTTCCAGTCATTTTGCCTATGAATCTATATTTGTAGTAAAGATCTATATAAAGTAATTCCTTTTTTGTATTTTTGTTTCTGATTTTTCCTAATGATTTTGTACAGTTTGGCCTTTTTATATTCACATCCCAAACACTCACAAAGAGATTATGATTTTATGACCTCTCAAGTGAACAAGAGGAAAACATGGCAGTTATTCAAACATGAGACAGACACTATATAGGGAGTCAAAAAAATTGTTTAATTTCCCATCCATGCCTTTCAAAGCTGGCACCAGTGTATTTTTTAACTGCTTTGTAATTAAACCTCTCTAGTATCATATTATTCTGAAATCAGTCATTTGGAGAAAATATGTAAGACTCTTTGATTGGCCTTTCTGAATCTATTTTTCACAGTTGCAAAGTCCTGGTCAAACAAATTAAATTACTGCGGCAGTATGTAACTAATTTTATGTAAATTAAGGTGTTAATGTTCTGAATCACATTCCTGAAAATGGTCTGTTTTCTCTTGCAGCTTTTCTTCATTAATGATACTATGAATAGGCAAATCTATTAATTAATATCTACAGGACTAAGTGAATAAAGTGTTGCCCCTTGATCCTTAAAAGAATTACATCTACAGATAGCTTTACGGTCCAGCTACATTTGTCAGTAGCCCACCCAAATAAATCAATATGTTTATCTTGATACAAACAAGAGTAAGCTGATATGAATTCGAGTTCTTATACAGTTGGTGAGCTATGCAAATTAATGGTCATGAGTTGGGTATTTGACTATTGTTAAATTTTAACTCCTGTTTGTGTCAAGCCCTTAATACAAGCAAAACTGACACTTCAGCTTAGCAAGAAGAAAATAATAGCAATTTAATAGAACCAAACTAAGCACAATTTACAGTCAGAATCTTTTTGGGGACAGGAAATTATGAAATGGTCTTGTTACTTAACAGAACAAAAATAATGTAAGAAAAAATAAAATAAAAACACAGGTGAAAGAGCCAAACATTTTTTTTAATTAAAATGGAAAATGTTAGGAACTATTCAGAATAAAGTTGTGACTTCCTGCAAAGTAAGAGTCCTAGAAAGCTGCATAGAATATGAGCTTCATAGCAGCCAATCTAGCAAGAAAGAAGGCTATATGCCATGGAAAATACCACCAAAACAAAAGTAACTCCATGGTCACATTTTGCAGAGTTGCTTATATCTTATGTATGTACGTGCCCAGCTCCTGACTGCCATTGCCCTCACCTTTTCCTCATCTCCCAGAAGTGGATTTGTAGAAACCATAAGTTTCTGTCTTGCACCATTTCAGAAGGGGGAAAGTGGACAAGTCCAAAGAGGTTCTGTTTTATTGAAGTTGAAGATGTCATGAGATAATAGTAAGAAATCATAGTGAGTCATTCTTCTAACACTGAACAAGGGACTTGACTGGAACAAAGGAAAACAGTATTCTCACATAGCTTCACTATATGTTTGTAAGAACTTTTATCTAGAACTCTTCTGCAGCTTCCGCCTGGCTGGCTTTCTGCTGCAGATTCACAGGAACAGTTCAGGTGTTGTATGGGATAGCTTTTCCTACCCACACCATCACTGAGATAAAGAGTTTTTAACCTTTGATTTATGGTAGAAACTGATGTTTTGAGGTACCTTTCCTCTTCCAATTGTCTTGGTCACACAGGGCTTGATCTTCCTCTGGTTGAAGTAAATCAAAGTTAGCCCTTGACTGCAACATGAGCATATTTGGCTTTCTCTATAGCTATTTTCCTCAGTGGACATCGTAACACTGTCAACTCAACATTGTCAATTTTAATGGTATTTATTGGTTTTCTTAGATCCCCTGCTCCTGGAATCCTATGTCTGTGTGAGAACATAAGAATATAAGATCAGTTTTACTGGGTAAGACCAAAGGTCCATCTAGCCCAGTATCCTGTCTTCCAACCATTCATTAATTGCTAAGGCCTAATTCATGATCCTTGAGTGCCTGGTGCTGGCAATACTGCAATTATTAATTAGTTAGCTCTCAAAATATTACTATAATGTATATATAATTATATGCATTGTATGGCAAGATGATAGAGATGTTAAGGCCCAGAATTTCCAAATGTGTCTGCTGATTTTGGATGCTTAATTTGCAATTTTCAGAAGTGCTAACCATCTACCTCTCCCATGTACCTCTTGGAGCTTCAGGTACTCACTGTGTGAGGCTGCCAGCTCATGCCAAGATCTCAAGGCCTCAGCTGAACACTGACAATAGCTGGAGACCAGTCTGGCTCACCTGTGTATTAGTAATGTTTAAAAAATATATTAGGTTTATACAAATGTATATATTGTTTACACTTTATGAAACACTTATAAATGGCTGCCTGTACAGGTTGAACCTCTGTATTCTGGCACTCTCTGGTCTGGCAACATCCATGGTTCAGCATGATTTTAGTTAGCTAGATGTCTACTCATCAGGGGGATGGCCAAGTTTCCTGCAGTTTCATAAAATTTGTTTTCAGCCACCAGTCCTGGCTTTTGTTCTGTTACTTAGCTCTAATTTACCACTACATGTCTTATTAGAGCCCAGTAAGCAGTGGAAGTGCTAGTAATGCTGCTAGACAATATTGACCTACAGTGGTTCAGCAAATTCTCTGGTTCAGCACTGGTCAAGTCCCCAGGGTGCCACACTATAGAGGTTCAACACTTAACTCCTAGGCATTGTGCTGGCCAGTGGAACTCATTCTGGAGTTAGTCATAGGCTGCCTAACTCAATGCACAAAGAGACTTTGATATCTCAGAATAGGAGTCACAGAAACCAACAAGCTGCCTAACTGGTAAAAAATGTCAAGGAGAGCCCCCAACCTTTAATGGTAGTTCGGCACACATTGCACCACTCTACCTGATCTGAAGCAGAGATTTGAATGCAAGTCTCCTAGGAAAGCAGGCTAGCCACTAGGTTATGTGGTGATCTAACCTGTTGAAACTGTTCCCCTTTGTAAAAATGGTTAATTATTCACTAGAGCATTTATAGGAATTTAGATCTCGCACATCCCAGCTGAGTGCTTTAACTTTGCTGTAAAGCCATTCTAACACTTTCTGGCCCAGTAGCTATTGAATTTGATACACAATGTGGAACACCTTAAACATGAGGACTTGAGAGCAGCCTATCCAGAAAACCCACACTCTGATGCTTGCAGATGTGAGAGACTTGGGTTCAAATCAGGCAGAATGGAAATCAAACCGTCAGTCTCCAGCAGCCCCAGTGAGTACCCTCACTCCCAAACTATTGGGGATGTAACCCCCACCAAACACGCATATATCCCTTATCTCTTTGCCTTCAGCTGAATTGTGTAGGTTTGGCTTGCACTGGGCATGCCAGCTGGATCAGATCCTGCTAGCAAGATAGGAGGGGGAGTATCTAATTATTAATCTCACCATGGTTTAGGCATGAGTTAGTCACCATTATCTTGGGGGAAATCAGAACGTAAGCAGTTTTTCACATACCCACTTGCAAAACTTAGGGAACTTCACTGGTAAGGAATATACGTGGATAGGGAATTTAAACGCCTGCAGGGTTAGGCTTCAGTTGGAGGGGGGCTGGAGAATCTCAATGCTATCTAAGTAGTAGACTTAATTGCCATCTGAGGCACCAAAACCAGTGGTATCCACAGCGCCTTAACTCAAGATCTCAAAGCCAGTTAGTAATACAGCAGACACTAAAGCCCTGGTTTCCATTCTCCTGCTCTAACCACTATATAAACTGCTTCTTTTACTATTGTAAGCAATTATTTAGACTGAAGGTTAGATTCACAGATTGCTATGAATTTTCATTCAAAAAGATGAAGTGACCTATTTTAAATTCTAAGTGGTAACTCTGGTAAATAAATTTCTCCTAGCATGTTAACATTTGTTCAGAAATCAAGATCTAGGCTCCAGCCGCCTTCACAGATATCTACACTTTAAAAACAAACAAACAAACAAACCTTTTTTCTGTGAGGAAGAGCAACTGAGCCTTGTGTACACAGTCACTGTAAAGGAGCCCGCACTTGTTCCAAGATGGAATGTGAAAAAGAGCATCTGGAAAGGTAAAAATAAAATAAACTGAAGAGCAGCCATGAGTGAAAATTCTCCCTTGAAAAATATTATCAGTGCTACTGAAAAAAAGAAGATAATCCAGATTATAACCACTCCAGTACTAATAGGAATTCTGGAGAACAAGTACAGTGCCTGACAACATGAAGGCTTATCTAGCAGTGAATAAGAGAGGAGGGGTGAGGAGCTCAGGGGTTCAAAAAGCTTTTTATAAAAAGCTAGAAATAAGGACAACAGAAAAGCCCAAATCTAAAGACCTGCATATTTTCTTCAAATTTGGCCCTATTTAGCATGTACCATATGAATGTGTAACAGATGATGCATGTGGGTAGTGACAATTGTTTTAGCTCTTCATCTGAAATCTCAAAATATATCTTGTTTGAAATTTAAATGAAGAACAAAGCTGTTCTTAAATACAGTTCTTGCTGTGTGTAGCAGGATCTCCCCAAACATGGGTATCAGAACTTGTCCCTATCTCAGTTTCCCCACTACATAAACTGGCAGGCGAGCTCACCATCAAGTGCACCCATGACACTTGCATGACAGTCACCACTCCAGGAAGGTGACAATTGTTCAAATACATGCACAGCTCCCAGGCAGTCAACAGGATTGCTGGGCCACTCAGCAATGTGCGGTGGGTCTGGCTCCGTGCTCCCAGAAGGGATGGGGGGTTGTGCGGAAAGGGTGGGGTAGGGGCAGTTAGCCCTCAGCTCTTCCTGGAGTGCGCGGTGCACCCCTCCACCAGCTCTCAGAGCCAGCTAGAGCTTGTGGAGTGGGTATCTGTAGAGCACGGCAACTCTAAGGAGCCCAGGGTTCTGGCTGCCACCTTCACTGCAGCAGTGGCAGTGACGGCTGAGAGTCGCAGGCCCTTTGAAATCACCAGGCCCAGTCGGCAGGCCTGCGCAGTTCAACATGCCCTGACCATGCTTAACTTTCACGTACCTATGTAGAACAGCTGTCATGTAAGAATGTGGAGCATGACTGCAGAAACCAAAAGTATTCCTCCATTGTGGAAGGCAGGGCTCTGGACTGCTAGGTGAGATCATGGAAGTGTAAAGTGCTGTAGACAGCAGGGTCCGGTTACCGTGTAGTACCATGTTTAAATAAAAATTCTTTAGTTGCTAAGTATAAGTATCCATGTTGGGTTAATACGCATCCAGTTTTCGACTAGACACCTAGTCAAAAAGGGACCCTCGTGGCTCTGGTCAGCACTGTTGAGCGGGCTGTTAAAAGTGCAGCTGGCAGTGCAGCAAAGCTAAAGAGGACTCCCTGCCTGCCGTGGTTCTACATGGCTCCCAGAACCAGTGGCATGCCCTTCATCAGGCTATGTCTACACTGCAGAGGTTTTTTTGGAAAAACAGTAATTTTTTCCAAAAAAACCTTCACTTACGTCCATGCTGCAATCATGTTCTTTTGAAAAAAAATCGAAAGAACAGAGGGGTTTTTCCAACTTTGGTAAACCTCCTTCTGTGAGGAAGAAGCCTTTTTCCAAAAGAGCTCTTTCAGAAAAAGGCGTGTGTGGACGGGGAAGAGGGAGTTTTTTCAAAAGAAGAGGGAAGAGGAAAAAGCACAGGTGCCCTGATGGCCACTCCATCCATAATAATCACAGCTTACATGAAAGACAGCATCCATTCAGTGTGGATGCTATCTTTTGAAAAAGCAGATCTCTTTTTCCATGCATGAGGACGTTGTCTTTCAAAAGAAGTTTTTCTGGAGAATCTCTTCTGGAAAAGCTTCTTTCAAAAGATGCCTGCAGTCTAGATGTAGCCTCAGGCACCTGCACATATTGGCAGCCAGGGAAACAGCCAATGGGAGCTGTGGGAGTGATGCCTGCAGACAGAGCAGCAAGCCAAGCCACTTGGGAAATGCCACTGCTTCCAGGTTCTGCTTGAGGTAAACACCACTTGGGGTCTGCACTTCTGAGCCACCTTTGTGCTCTAATCCCCTACCTCAGGCTTGATCCTTATCTCGTCCTCTGAACTCTTTAAACCTGCCCTGAGCATCCTCCTGCAACCCAAACTCTCATCCCCACCCTTACCCCAGAGCCTCATCCCCAGCCATAGCCCTCACTCCCCTCACCACAATTCCCTGCCACAGCCCTGGTCCTCCTCCTTCCTCCCAGCCCCTTAGTCCCAGCACAGACTACCCTCTTTACACCTCAGCCTCTCACCCCCCCATCTCTACCCCAAGATCTGCACCCCTAGCCAGTACCATCACCCCCTGCATCCCAACTCCCTGCCCCAGCCCAGAGCCTCCTCACACATCCTGAACCTCTCATTTCCCTCAGTCCCCTCCCACATCTCAATCACCTGCCCCAGCCCTGAACCTCTCCTGCCCTCCAAACTCCTAGGTTCCAGCTGAGAGCCCTCTCCCACACACTGAAGTCTTCATTTCTGCACCCAGAGCCCACACTCCCCTGCCAGAGTCCTCACACTCTACCACACCTCAGTCTTCTGAGTCAGCCAGATAAAAATGAGAAAGTGAGTGAGGGTGAGGAGAGCAAATGACAGTAGGAAGGGGGACTGGAGTGAGTAGGAGTGGGATCTCAGAGATGGTGCAGGGCAGGAGCAGGGGCAGGGCTTTGTATGAAGGTACAGCAAGGGGTATGGTAAGGGTGTTCGGTTTTGTGCAAGAAAAAAGTTGGCAACCCTAGTTCCGTGCATTATTGGAAAGAGCAACATAGTGCACAAAACCACAAAGGATGTCCTTCCACAAACTCCATCTTGAAAATTATTTACCTGCCCATCCTCTGCTTTAAACTGAGTAAGCTGCCCACTTGACCATGAAGGTGCCTAATGATCTTTGAAAATTTGGGACACAATTTGTAATGCACTGTTATAGATGTAAAATACTGGCTTTGCTCTCTATTAAAAACTATTTTTCCAAATCTTGATATGTGCTTATCAAGTACTTCTTTGTGTGTTAATTCTATAGACATTATATGATACCAGAATGTTTTTGATAGACTTTCATCTTTTGATAATATGAAGAAAGCTATGTTTGCTACTATTAACAGGAATGTAGTATCTGCATCCTTCACAGGCAAACAATGTAACATAATGAACTCCCTGAATCTTAGTAGTAGTAGTACACAGTGATGCAGTGATTAGTGTCTGAGTAACAAAAATAAAATGAATTCAGAGCAACAATAAAATTAAGGACTATGGAAAAAATTTCATTTACGACCTGTCTGCATTCACTACAGCCTTAGCTTTGTACTTCACACAACCTGAACTGGTAAAAATAAGCTCATTGAAGATATACTAAAGAGTATATTATGGCGATAACCACCAATACAGTACTACATAGATAGCACTATTCTGCTATTTATCTTTTGCATTGAGTCTTTGTAAACAGAAATATGATTTACATATCAGTTACAAGACTTTCTAACCCCTCCCCAAAATATAAAACATAACAAGGTGAAATCTTGCCCCCATTAAAGTCAACAAGAGTTTAACTATTGATTTCCGAGTGGTCCAGATTTCACCTCACATATGATATATGTTTTCAGGGCATAGATAATTTTTTTTAATTGTGTGTCATTTAACATTGCCCAAATTCCAGTAGCTATCCAGATTCTGCAGTTAAGCTACTTTTACTATTAATGTGAAATACTAGAATAGTAAAATATCCTAGTCAGTTATCATGTAGTGTGGAATCTGCATACATGTTGTGCTGTACATCTATAAGAAATTGAAAGAGAATCCCATTCAGTATCCCTTGTGCCAGAAAATCCCACACCGAAGTCAACACTGTATTTTTTTTAAATTGGTCACGGGAGTAATGATGAGTTACCAACTTCAAACTTTATGGAGATCTTAAATGTCACCAGTATTATGGCATACAAAGTTAAACCAACTTTTACAGATGAGAAATGCCTTTTGAATAGCAGTAGTGAAATTTATCCCACCAAATGAATTTCTGTGAAATGATTGCAAAATGAACCTATTTTTTTAAACAGGCAAAGGGAAGGGACAGTCTGAGATTTACACCTGATTTGTGTTATAGTAATCTTTGAAATTAAGAAGTGTATCCTTGCATTTCATTAAATTCTAGCTAATGAGATAACTGTCTTCCCAAGGAGGGAGTGATGAAGTACTCATGCCATAAAGCATAAATTAATGCTGCAAGGTTAAACACTGGAACTAACTCATGTTTCAACAAAAGCCCCTACCAGCAGTTAAATTAACTGACATAAATACCATAAAATCTGTCTTTATTTTAGTCTCAGATGATGCTTCTTTTTACACCCCTGCTTTCAGTTTGTATAACTCATTTTTGCACATTATTGCATGCACCATTTGCCATTTACAGAATCAGCTACAACTGGAAAAAGGATTTAAGGAATCAAATACTCGGGGAAAAAACCTGTGGGTATGAGGGATACCCCTATCATACTTCATACTGCAAGTACTGTTTAAAGAAAATACCACAATAGACAACCACAGTTCAAAGAAACAGTTAATTATGAGACCAGACCAAAGAAATCTACTTTTTCAAGCTTTTTGATAGACATTTTGAAAAAAATGCTAAAGAAAACCTGTGGTGATAATAGGTTTGATATATATTCTGGCAAAAATTATATCACATTAATGAGGTGGCTTAAAGGGCTCATGCATTTTGTAGGAGGCATTTCAATGTATTAGTATAATTAGCAGTGATGAGAAAACTGTTTGGAACTGAATTACCTCTCACGAGTTCATTTGAGCTATATGAAATTACACCATGCAAGAAGGAAAATTATGGAGCCATCCAGAGAGAGTTCATGCTTGATTTGATCATAGCCACTAATTGGATGATCATTTTCGTAAAGCTTTTCAAATGGTTGACAGTTTCTGCCTCTCATTTTTTTAATGGACTAGCTCTTTATTTCTTGTACTAAGCAACCAAACATACATTTGTTAGAGATTTTGGTGTTTCTACAGGAACCTACAGGTGTAATTGTCACAATCTGAGCAACCTTTGTCCCTTAATTAGCTGCT